TAGGGAATATTTGATGGTGGAGTGTCTCCATTAGGAGTTTGTAATCCGCTATCACCGCATTTGAGAGCCATTTGGGTATAAGGAGATTTTTATTAATGGTTCATGAGCCTAAAATTCAAAATTGACTCTCAGAGCAGATTTTAACAGTTCGTGTGGCATTTGTATATTTAACTATCGCTCTGGCACCTCTTCTCCCTCCCCCAGCATCACTTCTGTTTGCTCTGCCCCAGAGCAGAGGTGCAGCAGTGGGAGCAGCAGCAGGAAACAATGGGAAGCACCAGCAGTTGGAACTGCCACGTGTGGTTTTCTTTTCCTCCCTTCCCTTCCCTTCCCTTCCCTTCCCTTCCCTTCCCTTCCCTTCCCTTCCCTTCAAGCTCCTATAGACACCCAGTTCTGCTCTCTGCCTGCCCCCGTGGGTGGGGAGAGGTGGGGAGGGGGCACATGCCTGGAGCCTGGGGACCCCTGGGTCCTGGAAGGGGGGAACAGAGGTGCCCCCGCCTCAGATGGCAGGTCCCAGCAGGGGCAGAGGGTGATGGGGGGCACAGCCACCCTGCCAGCACAGGGGCTACCTTCTGGGGTGTTGCCCCCCTGCCCCACATGGGGCTGAGGGAGGGGGGTCTGTCCTCCCTTGCCCTTTTGGAAATGGGGGAGGGAGTGAGGCTGGAGAGCCCTTCTACTGTCCCCACTCCCCTTTTAGTCCCCAAAACTCTGGGGGTTCAAGGACAAAAACCAAGCCCCAACACAAGCCCAGCCCTCCCAAAGCCAACCCCAAACCATCCCCATCCCCAGCGCTTCCAGCTCAGCACCTGTATCCATACCCAGCCTTCCCAACCCTCCCAGATCCAGACCTACTCCTCCCAAACCCATTCCCAACCTCCAGCCCTATTCCCACCACCACCCCAACCCTCAGGTAAGGGCAGTGCCAGGGCTGGGAGTGGGGGCTTCGGGAGGCCCCTGTTCCCACCTCCCCCAGCACCAGCTGGGGAAGGTCTGCTGTGAATCCCGAAATCCAGCTTTTTTTTCAGTCACTCTCTCCCATCTCCTTGGAAACAGGCAGTGCTCCCCAGCCCTAGGCTCCTCCTGGGAATGCCAACACCCCAAAACTTGTCCCAGTTTTGGGGCTCCCTAGATTGGCTCCCTGTTTTGAGGCTCCTTAGGCTGACTCAGCCTGGGGTGGGAGTGAAGCTGCCCCAGGGCGAGGGCTGATTACTGGGCAGACTGGGCAGTGTGGGCAAGGAGCAGGCAGGGAGTGGGAAGGGATCTCAGGCAAGGAGCAGGCAGAGAGTGGGAAGGGACCTCGGGCAAGGAGCAGGCAGAGAGTGGGAAGGGATCTCGGGCAAGGAGCAGGCAGGGAGTGGGAAGGGGACAACATGGAGGATAAGGCAGGGAGCAGGGAAGGATGAGGCAGGGAGTGGGAAGGGATCTCGGGCAAGGAGCAGGCAGGGAGCAGGCAGTCTGTAGGCAGGGGGCAGGCAGGTGAACTGGCAGGGAATCCGACAGGGAAGCAGACTAGGATCAGAGGGGGGGATCAGACAAGGAGCAGGCAGGACATGAGGCAGGGAGCAGGCACAGGAGCTGGAGGCAGCGTTTGAAGCAGCTCAGCTATGGTTGGGTTTTCTGATTTTTCAATTTGAGTGGGTTTTTTTATCTCCTGTGGGAAATGTCACCCTGCAGAACAGGGAAAGGAGTTGCTTAGATGTTTATTTTCAGGGAGTGAGGGGACACCTCAAACCAAACACCCTTTAATCAGCTCTTTGCCCCTAAATCCAGCTTTCCAACACTAAACTGATGCCATCCCCCTAGCTTTCCCCTCAATGGTATTGGATCCAGAATTGCCTCCTTCAACCCCCGGTTCAGAGGAAACAAATTCAGCCAGAAGGGAGATCTAAAACGTTCAAAAATGAAAAAGGAATTAAATTGCTCTTTATGTAATATTTTGGTTTTGCCAGCTCACCTCAGGATTTTGCCCTTTGCCCACACGAATGCCCATTAAAATTAAAATCAGAAACAACCAAGTAGAGAAAATGTGAGAAGTGCAAAAAGCCAGGGGAAATTCAGAGAAATCCCTGCCATGAATTAGCTTTTTTTTCTGATAAAAACAAGCATTGGATGGAGGAGCTCATCCCTAACACACAGGGAACTATTCAGGAAAGAAAAGTAAAAGATAAGATGGGAAAAGCAAAATGGGAAAAGAGGTTTTAAAGAGGCTTTAAAGAAAAAATAACCCAAAGCTCAGGAAACAAAGAGCTTTTGCAGGCAGGTGTGATGCTGCACCCCAGTTCAACAAGGACTTGCTTTTTCCAGGCGTATTTTGCTTGGATAATTTTTATTATTTTTTTGAAGGGAGGTTAAACTCTGTCAGTTTTAACTAAATCCATGGAGAAATGAAACTTTCCACACGCTGCTGCCTGGGAGCAGGAGGTGGAGGGGTCTGGCTGAGCCATCCCTGGCAACCCCAGGTCTCGGCTGCCTCACGCTTCCCAAACATTCCCTGCTTAGATCCTTCCCATTAAAAAAAAAATAAAATTAAAAAATGGGAAAAATCACTGACTGACAAGCCCTGACATGAAGCAGGGTAAGAACTCGCCTTCGTTCAGAGCTGGCTGATGTGTTTGTTTATTTTAAAGGCTGGTGTTGGCTGGCCATGGCTGGGGACATAAATGCCACGGTGGGATGGAGAGGGATTGCCAGTGTGTGAGGAGGGGGATAGTTCGGGATGCATGGACACAAAGCTAAGAAATGAGTGGAGAGGCACCGTGAAGGTGTTCGTGCTCTCCAGGTCTGCAGCAGGGTGATGGTGACCACACGGCTGTGGCCCCTGGTGACAAGCCCTGGGGGGACAGCTGGTGACAGGGAGCAGGATAATGGCAGGTGCTTTTTTTCCAGCCTTTCTCTCTTTTCCAGAGGTTCCTTTTCTGTGTCAAATCCAGAGGCCGGGGCTCAAGCGACCCAAGCGATGTGAGTGGGAAGGAGAGAGAGAGGAAAAAGAAGGACAGAGAAAGAGCCACCAAGAGTAGGGATGCTTGGGAAGGGCTTGATCCTGCACCATAGGGTGCTGTGGCTTCAAATCAGGGAATTATAGCTTAAAAACTTGTCCCACTCCATCCCCAGCACCTCCACTCGGATGATCCTGCCTGATCGCTCCCAGTTCGCCGCTTCTCCTCCCCAGTTCAGCCTGGAAACTTAGGGCTCCCCCCAAAAGCAACTGGGAACTCACACCTCCTGGGAGGGTTCGGAGCAAACACACCTCTCCCCATGAAAACATGTGGGAAAATGTCTTTTCCCCTACGGGAAAAGACCCCTACGGGTTGGGGGGGAAAGTCACGTTATCCAAGGTCTGTTCGCAAGCCAACAGGGTTTTTTGCTTTAAACAAATAATAAAAAGAATAATAATCAATAAAAATACCCCCCCTCCTCGTTTTGCTTCCTTCACCTGGGGGAGCTGCCAGCAAAACCCCCTTTGTCTCTGCCCTACAGAAGCTACCAGACCCTCCCAGCCCTGAGAAATCCCAGCGGCAGGCGGCATCGCCCCTCTCCGTCACTCGCCGGATGAGATTAAAATGGAAGACAACCATCAAGTGTGCTAGAACCATTTTAATATAATTATACATATCTGCCAAATCCAGGAGAGAGGGAGAGAAAGAAAAAAAAAAAAAAAAAGGTTTATGTGTATATATATCTTTTTTTTTTTTTTCTTTTTCTTTTCAGTTAACATCTGCAAGCATAAACGACAATGAATTTCTCGGTTTAAAATTCATTCAGGTCAAAGCAACTGCCCAAAGTCCTGTTGGGTTTGATGGTCACTGCCAGCATGGCCAGCAGGGACTGAGCTCCAGAGGAGTTTAATACCCTCGGGTGGGGTTTGTTGGCTTGGGGGGTTTGTTTGGTTGGTTTTTTTCTGTCTTTTCTCTTTCATTCAGAGACAGTTTGTTGTGAAAAGTTTCAGTGCAGTTCACCTTGGGTGAAAGGCGAGCATGTTTTTTGTGTTTTTTCTTCTTTTTTTTTTTTAATATATATATATATTTTAATTATTATTTTTTTTAAAAGTTGATAATAGGTAATTCAGTTGCTCTGAATTTCACTTAATAATTATAAACCTATTTAAATCACAGCAGAACTCCTGCTGGTGCAGAGTTCATAGTTGCATACAATACAGGAGATCACAGTTTTGAAGTCTAGCACAGATTAAAAACCACAGATGTACCATTTATATAAGACACACACTGATTGTCTCTTAAAAACTACATATTGACTCCTTATGAACATTATCTTCTTTTTTTTTTCTTTTTTTTCTTATTTTTTTTAAATCTTTAAATAAAGTAGTGCAGCTAGGACAATCAGTCACACAACCCACACAGCCCTGAACCAAGTTCTCCGGGTGCCAACTTGAGCGAGTTGGGCATGAAAACAGTTGGATGAGCTCGAGAGCAAGAGAGAAAGAGAGAGGGAGGGAGAAAAAAGAGGGAGAAAAAAGAGAAGATGCTGTCCATTCTGAATAGTTTAACCAAGGGTTGGCTAACACATTGGAAACCTCTGGGTGAAGGATCTTTCCACGCACACACACACAAAAAAAAGAAATAAAAACCTAGACTTTTTTTTTTTTACTTTTTCATTTTTTAACTTTTTTTTCTCTTTTTTTTTTCCTTTTTTCCTTTTTTTTTTTTTTTTTCAAAACTGGCCCGTGGGGTGGGATGAATCTCCCACCTCTTCCAAACAAAGAAACCCAACAATTGCCTAAAACTAGAAAGAACACAGATGGGTCTGTCTTGTTTTCTGCTCACTAGATGATCTGTCCGTTTAAGGCCTTCCTCCTCCTTTTTTTTTCCTCTTGATTATTCCTTTTCCAGAGTGTCTGAGCAGGAGATGAGTCTGAACGGGATCACACCAACACTGTCCCCCCTCTTGTTGTGTTTTGATTTTTTTTTTAATATTTTATTATTATTATTCTTTCGTTTTGTTCATTTCTTTGTCCGTTGAGTTTATTTTTCTCTTTTAATTTAACCAAGACCTGACTAAAACTGGAACGTCCAGCCCAGCCTGTTCGTTCTCGTCGCGATTTGTTCTCGTTTTTTACCACCAAGGTTCTTCACAAAACCTGGAACTTCCATGACGATGTCTGGTCCTTATAATCCAAGCAGTCAGCATTGAAGTTTAACTTCCAGGAGGCGGTTTGGTCTTTATAATCCAAGCAATCGGTGGTGGAGTTAAAGCCCAAACTGGAGGCTCCATAGCCCTGGGTGGAAAGGGAGGCTGGAGATTGGTTGAGGTGGCTGGTGACTGCGTTGGCACCCATGGGACTCAGGGTGGCCCCTGGTCCAGGAAGCTGGTGGTGCATAGGGGTCAAGTAAGATCCACAGTCCATCCCTCCAAAATAGGAGGTCGAGCCAGCGTATCCTTGGCTGTAGCCTGATGCCTGGGTGTAGGTCATGGGGTAGGATCTCTGCATGCAGGAGGAAGAGGTGGACAGGGGGTCTGAGAGAGGGGAGATGGACGCTGGGCTCCAGATGGACACGGGGGCACTGCTGCTGGAAATGGTGGGGACTGAGGTGCTGGAGGGGGGAGTGAACTGCCCGCTGGTCCCGCTCTCTGAGCTCACTTCCCGGGCTGGTGAATTCTTCTTTTTAGCTGGTCGTACCTTGTTCTGGCCCCCGTTCTGCTGCTGCTGCTGCTGCTGCCGGCACTTGGCCCGGCGGTTTTTAAACCACACCTTGAGACCAAGAGATGGGGAAGGAGAGAAAGGAAAAGCCCGGTGTTAGGGATGTATGGACAAACCCAAGGAGGGCAAGAGGTGGTGGCAGGGAGACTTATGCCAGGGAGGGGGTACTAAAAACCCTCCCCAGTGAGCACAGGGTTGGAGGCTGCTGCAAAGAAAAGCTCCGGGGCTCCCCCTCCCTGAGATCATTAGCAGTAATAACAAGTGAAAATGGGAAAACCAAACTGCTTAATAAGGTCACTTTTGGGGGAAGAGCAGGGGAGCTCTCCCTGTTTGCTGTTTGCCAGCCAGGGACCCTCAGGAATCACCATTTAAGGCCTATTGAAGTCAAATCCTTAATGAGAAACAATAGGGCATCCAAAAAAGAGGGAACAATTAGGGAAACAGAGGCAGGGGTCGGGGGGTGTAAAGATTCCTCATTTACCTTCCACAGAGACTCTGCTCTCACCCCCAGCTAAGGCAAGGCCACCCCAACCCCTCTGGTCCACTGTTAGCAGAGACCAAGGGAGCTGGCTCTGGGAAGGATGAGTGCTGGGGAGGTTTCTGGGGGAGATGGTTCCGCAGGGGAGGGATCCCAGTCCCTGACTGCCATCCTTCAGTGGGACATGGCACCACACAGCCTCTGGAAGCCTCGTGGGGAGGACAGTGGGAGAGGTGATCCCGGCTGCCGGGATCTCCTGGATCCGTGCTGGGGGCAGCACGAGCACCCAGGACCACCTCCCTCCCTCCAGCCCTGCCAGCAGCACCTCCAAAGTGCTGTCTGGATTGGGCCCCCGCAGGTTCCTTGCAGAGGAGACACAGCCCAGCCCCAGGAGATAAGTCCCCTCCACCAAGGCTTCTTCTTGCTCACCAAACAGAGAGGAAGCCCCCCAGTCTTTCCCGGTGTGGAAGGGGACCCCAGTTCGGCCCTGCTGCAGGGATCCCTGGGGAAGGGGCGACCCTCGATGGCTTCCACAGGGGCCCCAAATGCTTGCAGGGCAGGCTGGGGTTTGGCACCCGGGGCAAGGCACAGTGCAGAGCCTGAGGGTGCTGAGGAGGCTCACAGAGACAGAGGGGGTGGGGAAGGGGTGCAGAGGGCTCGGGAGCTGGGATTTAGGACCTGCATGAACTCCCCCCCCCTTCAGTGCACATGGAGGAAGGAGCGGGCACGCTCCAGCCCGGGGAAGGTGAACTCCCACTCCTGCACCCTCATCCAGCTATGAGCCCCCTTCACCCCCCAGGGGCTCGATTTGGCTCCAGGATCGACCCCATCCCCTAAACCAGCCTCCCTGCCAGCCGTGAGCCCACCCAACCCCTGCACGCCGGGATACGGGAAGGGGCTGGGGGGGAGGGAGG